TTCTTTGAAAGCGACCATCCGCGTCAATCAACAAAATATACGCATGTGTTTTCCATTGCTACAGAGCAAGCAGGCGATGGATGTGGCTCAGGCCCACTAGGTGCAGGTTCTGTTGACTCAAGGCTGGCATCCACATTGAGCTTTGCGCCTTTTCAAGACTGCAGTTCAGGAACCATTGACCCTCACAAACCCTAGGGATCGTTGAGGCTCCCGCCACCCTCAGTGTGCCATTCCCATCTTACAACTGGACGAGTGTCATTCCCCAAATTCGACAACACCGTCGGTTGGCTCAGGACACCTTGGCGCAGGACTGCGGCGAAGATCCGATGCCTTGGCTTCTCGGCTTCCGCACCAAGTGGTCCGGTCTCCGAGACAGATGGGTAGATCAAATGGGCGTGAAATTTATTGGGGGATCCTGTGGTGGACAATTTAGGTGGAAATGTATGTCCACCAACCACTTTCCCCATTAAAATTCGCAGCCAAATCTGGAGGGACCATCTTGCCAAAGCGAATCGACAGTACTATTTTGGTATCCCTGATTTGGCTCCCGAAAAGGTGGTCCCTTTGGGCAACTGATTTGGGGTTCTGGAGACAAAAGGGATGCTTAAGCGGGGAAAGACATGGATGTGTCCTTTTCTGAGGGTGCCTTGTTTGAGGCTTCAAATGGACCCCAAAAGGAATCCAACATTTTGAGGGTTGCGGTGCTTTTCTCATACCATATTGAAGTTTGGCTTGTCGGTTTTCTTGTGGTTTCCCCTAGAAAAAACCGCAAGGTTGGTGCCCTTGAACCAAAGTTAGACACTGGCTTCGAGTTGACATAGACATAGGGAACCTTCACCAAAAAGAGAACTCCAAAGTGGGACCCGCTGTGAATAGGACCAGGAATGCGTCTTGTTTTGCGACCTGTCAACTGATCGTTTTTGAGTCTTGTTCGCCTCCCGAAGAGGTCAGCCTTCTTTGGCTGCGATTTAAACCAAGAGGCAAAATGGACATTTAAACAGTGACAGGTTTGGAGACGGAAAAACCGCCCCCTCTACCGGCGAAAGCAAACGTAGGAAGCACCTTTGAGTGTGTCCGTTTTTTGAGGGTACCCTTCTTGGGTGGATTTAAAGGGGGAACCAACAGGCAAACCACGGATTTTGGGGGCTCTAAAAAGAAGATGAGCCACATAGGGGGGCAAACAACTCACAGAACGTGCGTGCGCTTGTGTGCGGGTGTGCACGCATCCACGCCAAATGTGCGTGGTGGCTCGACCGGAGGTCCTACTTCTGGCGCAACCCGAAGCTTTTCTTCAAGCTCTTCGCGTCCCCGGCGAGTGCGGTGCAGTACCGCCTGCGAAGCTGGGCGCGAGCTGCCGACTTCCTCGAGCCAAAGCCTTGGAATGGCTCGGTCTCTCTGTTTTTTTTTTTTTTTTTCTTGATTTTTTCATGTTTGTTTTCTTTTTCTTCTTCTCGTTTTTAAAGTGGGTACCGTTTTTGTAGTGGTTTGAAGGGAAACCAACCGGAAGCCAACCTTTTTTTGGGGTTTAACCTTGGGAACCACAGAAATGGGTGGGGTCTCATAAAATTTGGGCACTTCGTTTTTAATCTGCTAAGTCCAGCCACGATATTCGAAAAGCCAGGTTTTACACGATGGTTTTCTCTGGATGGGAGTATCCCATTTTCGACTAAGAGGGAGGCGTCCGAGCTGCCACGAGAGCTGGTAGTAAAAGCGATGTTCCTTGTGGAACCCCTAGAAGACAAACCCATGTGCAGTTTGGAAATGTTTGGAATGGAAAGGAACCAAAACACCCTCAGGTACGGGTGATTTTTGTGGGGCAAGGGACGCGGTTGGACCTTGGGAAGTCACGCTGAATGGCCATATCTACCAGGAGGTCAAGCGTTCCTTGCCTGGTGGCGGTTGAGCCCATGGCTTTTCGGACGGTTCAGGGGAACAGTGCAGACAATCTCCAAACAGGCCAAAAGTCATCGTTTTTGTTCACACCCTATTTGGCACCCAGCAAGAGAATGGATGAGGTCCCTGATGGACGGTTCTGCACTTGCCAGAATTCTCCATGAAGGCCTTCTGGCACCCACCAAAGCAATCAACCACAACCGGCTCTTTGTTTTTCCCTTCTATCATTGGGCTCGGTTGAAACTGGGTCAAAGGGGTTGCCATGTTGCCTTTCACCCTTTTTGCCCTGAAACGAACCCTGGACCCACCCGAATTGGTCACCCCAATGCTCCCTATGGCCAACCCTTAGCCACCCCTCAAGCTGACCCCAAACCTCCAGTGGCACCCTTTGTTTGCTTTTTTGGGAGGGGTGTCCATTAAAAGTCAACTTTTTCCAACAAAGAAGGCGCCCTTGGTTGCTTTTTTGGGAGGGGGTTCCATTAGTCAACCCGTCTTTTTTCAGGTGCTCTTTTCCCCACGGCCGGAGCCCTGAGGTCGCAACCCGTCAGCTTCTTCCGGTGGTTCGACTTGGCCCTTCGGCCGCCTGACGCCAAAGGGGCGAAGCCGGCCGCGCGGCCCAACCCCGCCGCGCGGTTGTGACACGGAGGTGTCACGTGGCAGGGGTCCCCGTTTGGTTGTTTTAAACATCACTTTTTTTGGCCCATGAAAGGTGAGTGTCCCTTGGCGGGGTGATGTTTTAAGGGGAAATACAGGGAGCCCTGTGGGGGGGGAGGTTCTCAAAATGGACGCCCTTGTTGGTGGGTACAAGGGAAGCAAAATGAGACCAACTATTCTAGCAAGCTACAATTTTGAGAAAAACACCCATATTGGAGAAACAGACGATCTCACCTGGGTATCGGGTTTGGGTCACCTATCAGTGGTCAAAGTCGAGTATCTGATCATGCACGGAATTTGACCCTTTGTTCGGGCTGTGTGAAGGGAACGCCAAAGGGACTCAACTCATTTAGATATTTTTGCCTATTAGACAGACCCAGACCATTCATAGACTGTATTTGCCAAAGATCAATTGCTGATGGCAAAGACCACATATATACATATATATATATATATATCGATTATGTATATATGACCCATGGTAATTCATGTTCGGCTCCTTGTTAGTCTTGAATTTGCGGATAGTGCGTCCAACCCCAGGTTTCTGCTAAGGGATAGTGGATATGTAGAATTACATGGTGAAAAAGATGCCCAGGGACGCCCTACAAGGGAACTGCTCCGTGCTTCTGTTGATCAGCACATGTGTAGGGGCTAGCTTCTCATTTGCTGTCCTGTACATTTGACAAGGGGGGACAATATGTATGTTGGTTGGTGGTTCAAATATCCTCTGTTGGGGCAATGTGTCATGGAGACTTTTGTATGTTGACCAACGGATTCCCTTAGTCATTCGGGGGCTTCTCTGGAAATGAACCCCCCACACAAGTAAGGATTCTCCCGGCATTCAGTGCTATTGGTTGCAAATATAGTAGAGCGGAGACCATCATGCAAAGCTGGTCACCTACTATCATGGTGGCTGGAGGCGCTGTGCAAAGTTACCCTCATGTCTAAATGTACCAGTCCTTTTTGGGCGCTTCTCACTGGTGACAAGACCGTGGTTGATCCTTCAGCCAGGGGAACCTCGTAAGTCGCTTTAGACGCGCGGCAGCGAGCCAGTTGAGCCCTGTCCGCCAGAGTTCGATCAGTCTGGAAGCCCAAGCCCCGCTTTGGCGCGAGCAGTGAGGCCGTGAATAAGGAGGATTTTGATTGAGCTTTTCATTCGCGAGCATCTCCGTAACAAGATTCGTGGCGCGTCGCGCGTTACAGACCCTCAAACAAATCATAGCCGTATTTTTAGGTCAACTAAACATGGACCACACTTGATCATGTTCTCCTTGGCTGGGTCCGATAAGTAAAACAGTGGATGGACCAAATCCCACGCCAACTGGTAGATGGTCCATGTGCATGTCCCAGCAATCGATGTGCATCATGTTATGTTGAAGTTCTCAGTGGGCAAAAGCTAAGGCAACCCTCAATTGGTTTGAATTGGTTTGGAGATTTGAACCCGTTGGCAAATGAGAAACCACCTCGGCAGACATTGTCTCTCCCCCAAAATGGTGAACACTTTCCTGTTGGATTTTCTTTAAGCCAACCCATTACGGCGGCTGTGGGTGTCCATGATAGGTCCGCGAGGCCGGGCGTGAGGCCGCCGAAAAGCGGAAAAAAGGGCGCGAGCAGCGGAAGAAACTGACGTCTCAAAATTGGAGAACCCACAGAAGGACTAGTTTTCCAATTTTCGATTCCAGCTAAAACTGGTGGATGCCCTTGGATTCCCTTTAAACCCAGCCCAACATGGGTACACTCAAACATGACACCCATACAGGGGGCTGGGTAGTGTTTTGCTAGTTTAGAATCGGAGCTGAGTTTGGCTTGGAAGTACCCTGATTGGCGCTTCTTGACAAGAGCTCTTGAGTCATTGTGGAAAACGGAAAACTGGAGGGCAATTTCCTCTGTGATACCAAGGCACCCGACACTGTTTCCTGAAAATACCGGCACGGGATGGCGGGCGCATGTTGGTATCACAGAAAGGTTAGCCCCCCCCCCGGGTGTTTTGAGTGTTGTGCTTGTCTCTTTCAGGTCCTGAGCCCATTCCTTCTGGGCGTTTGGAAGGACCCAGGCCTTTTCACCAAGTTTAGCAAGGTTTGCAGTGACCCTCCCCATCCCACGCAAATCAAGGTGTGTACTTTGCTCGTGTATCGGAGAACTAATGCTCGGCCTTGGCCTTATTTGGCTGAAATTGGGACTCAGGGGGCAGGGGGGGATCCTATGACACTATCCAAAGAGAAAGCATCCTGCGCGTTATAGGTGGCGTACGGCCTTACTAGGATGAAAGGGGGGGGAGGGGGGGCGGGGTAAGGGGAGGGCAGGGAATCTTTGAATCAAACATGCTTCACCAACCTTGAATTCATGTTGATTAGTTCCAATCTTGCTTATTTTTGCCGGGACATACCCCCAAGGTTTCACCACCCCTTCAGGAACCGCTGGTTCCTGCGACTCGCACCTCGGGGACTCGAGAGGACCAGCGCTGGGGCGCTGCTTCTGCCGTGCGAGCGCGTGGACTTCGCAGACCTGGTGCTCAGGAGCTTGTGGCCGCTGCTGCTCTTCTCCCTGCAGGACGGGCGTGGGGCTTGGTCTCCTCCGGTAATTGGCCCCTTACCCGGCTGCCCTCAGTGGCGCGCGTGTGTGTTTCAACTTTTTTGGGGGAAGGGTTCCCTTTAAAACTCAACCCAGCAAAAAAAAATGCCCCTTCTTTCCCCCATGGCTGATGGGCATCTGAGCTTAAAGGGCAGGCCACTTCAGGGAGAGAAATGAGAGTTGCGGCCTGGCGAAAAGAAGACCAACAGGGGTTCCTCCACCAAAGGAGATGCCCCCTAAAACATGTGTTTTGTTGGGTTGCCGCCATTCATTTGCACCTGCACAGTGTTGCTTATTGACATTGCCAGACTCAACAACTGGGCAGAGATGTTGTTGCCTGTCTCGTGTAGTGCGCAGGTTGGGCGGCGGCGGGGGGGGGGGGGTTAGGATGGCGTCGGCATTCCGCATCGGCCATTCCAACAAGATCCTGCGTAGGCAGGTTTGCGTAGGTGCGGTTTGCCCTGTGGGTAGAACGTCTCAAAACACATAGGGAACCCAAATCATGTGTGGTTTCGCTTCGGCTTCCCTATATGAAATATCGACCAGAGGGGGATCCACTATTTGAATAAAGACAGTCCAAAGATGTGCGTAGGCGCCCGCGTAGGCGAATTTATCTAAAACAAAGAAGCGCGTTGGTACTGTGTCACGTGTTTGCACACCCACGCATGCTGTATGGTAGGCATGCTTCACGTGTATGGGTTTACGATATGTTCTAGCCGACTTGCCAGTAAACATACACAACGGTAAATGCATAGGCAAATTACACAGGCCAATATATGGGTAAATATGAGGTGGCGGAAAAGAAGAACAGACCACCTCCCGCTTTTCTTTGGTGCAAGGCGGCGCTGTGTGCTCCAAGCCTGGCGCTGGAGGTGCCTGACGTGGCCTATGGGCGCCGGCCCTAAGTGGGACTCAAGTGGGTTGGTCTCACCACGAAATGCCTGGGTTTGCCTTTTTTTTTGGGGAGGGTTCCCCTACTAAAATAGACTACAGAAAAAGGATGCCCTTGGGTTCCCTGTGGTTTCCCTTTGCTTGGCGGTTCCCAGCCATCCGGTTCCTTAGCATTTTTAGCTGTCTGGTGTTTAGTGGTTGGATTTCCACTTAACTCACTAAAAGTTAAACTTTTTGCGGGGGATCTGAGGACAGCTCAGTTTGGTTTCCCCCTAGTTTCCCTTTGGTGTCCCATGGTTTTCCCTTTGCTTTCCCATGGGTGTTTCTTTAAACTTCCAAAACATGTCCCCTCAAAGAAGGTCACCCTCAAATACTATGAGTTTTATTGGGCTGTTTGGTGGACATTCAGCGGATTTATGTTCACCAAACATTGGTGAGCTGGTCCCTATTTAAATTCACTGCCATTTTTGAAAGTCGGCTAATGTGATTTGGATCCCCAAATGGATTTTGTTGTTTGTCCTTTCAAGCCAACCTGCAAAGGGTACAGTTGGTTGAAAGCAGATGGCGCAGTTCTCCCGTAAGTGTTGTCGTCCCGTGCTTACCCAAACTCCGGAAACTGTGCCACGTACCTTCACCCTGATGGATGGACATCTCCTTACCGCCATGACTTTTTCGGGATCTGTTCTGATCTTATCCCGCTTTTACGGTCCACTAAGTATGGGCCATACTCTGATGATGCTATCCTTGGGTTCACTACAGACACGTGAATAGCCTGTACTGTAGGCTGTTAAGATTCCGTGGATGTAGGAACCCGTATTTTGTGCAGACCCCCTATGCAACTACCCGGGCCTGGGGATGTCAACTTACTCCCCCTGCAACTGAACATGGAATTCAAAAGGGGTTCCCCAAAACGATGTGCCTCTCAAAATCAGGGCCCTTCCCCCCCTGGTTTGTTGGCTTTTTGTTGGTTTCCCGGTCTGACAATTCGTGGATTCTAATTCCGAAGAGCAGTTGTTGCTTACTTGGAATTTGTTCTACCTTTCCATTGAAAGAACGCGTCCAAGCTATTTGGATCTGCTGGAGAAACACGGGCAGGGTTCGATTCCAGCGGTGAATTCCTGCCAAATCTTGCGTTGGCGCACCAACCACTTCTCACAAACCAAGCAAACGCCCACAAAATTCAGGGGGTTCCAGCTGGTTTCCGTGCAATGTGACACAGGGGAGCTACGTCCTCCACACCCGGGATAAAGGGGACAGAAGGGGAAGGGGCCAATCCCAACCATAGGTGCGGATATCAGTCCTTTTGATTCTTTCCCTGACAGCCCTTTAGTACTAGGTTTGCATTAGCATTATTCTAGATGCACCTGCTCCACTCTCTTCAGGGATCCTTCTCTTCAAAGCAGTTGGCTGAGCCCCTGAGAACGGTTTTTTGCGAGCAATGGGTTACCCTCCCTCCAACATCATGAAAGCTGACAGGAGAGTGTTGCAAGACTGTTTCCTCTTGAGGAACCCCCTATTTTGTTGCAAAGAGGCACACAGCTTGTCAGAATGGCAGAGCAAGCTTCGGTCGGCCTCTCTCAAAGGAGACTAGGCTCTTATTGGACGGGGCCTCTCTGGAAGGAGTCTTGGACAGAGGCTAGGATTCCGACTCAGGTGCGGCGGCCAGCTTTCGGTCTACGGGGATCGCCTGCGCCTCGCCGGCGCGCATCTCGCAGATCCCCCAGGCCCCGAGCGCGAGCGCGGAATCGGCAAGTCCGTTGTTCCGCTCGGTTGGCCCCTGGTTCCGCCCCCTTTTGGGTTGACCCCTGCTTTTGTCCTCTTGTGGTTGCTCCATGTTGTTTCTCTCTTTGGGGTTGGCACCTGTTGTTCCCTTTTTGAATTCGCTCCCGACTTTTTCCCCAGTTTTGATCCTTTTCGGTTGGCCCTTGTTGGTCCCTTGTTTGGGTCGGCCCGTATTTTTCTGGTTTTGGGTTGGCCCTTGGTTCTTTTCTCTGTTGGGTTGTCCCTTTGATTCCTCCCCCTTTTGGGTTGACCCCTGAATTCCTGTTCCTTGTTTGGTCGGCCCGGGATTTTCCTCTGTTGGGTTAGCCCTTGTTTTTCCCTGTTGCAATTGGCTCTTGACTTTTGTGTTTTTTCCTTTTTGGTGCGCCCTTGTTTGTTCCCCTTTTGGCTTGGCCCTAGTTGTTTCCCCCTTTTGGGGTTGAACCCGGATTGCTATGTTTTCTGCTTTTGGGTTGTCTCTTGTTTTTTCCTTTCTTTTGCCGGCCCCGATACTTTGCTTTTGCTGGTTTCATATCTTTAGGCCACACTGCCCAGCCAAATCTGTGAATGCCGAAACTACCTGTGGATGTGACTGCCCTTGGTACTCTGAAAGCACTCTCAGAGCCAACAGAACACATATCCAAGACTGTACCGACATCCTTCCTTCTTTGCTAGGGATTCACTAGGAAGACCAAGCAAACACCGAAGAAGACCGTTTCGAAGGGCTGAGTTGACACCCGGCTGTGTCATGCTCAGGGTCCTAACTTTGAAGGATAGGTCTGGTCCGCAATGCTACCATTTTCAGCGGGCAATCGGCAATACGAGGTAGGATCATTTGGAAGGTTATCTGTGTTTGTTTTGGTTTCAAGGGAAACCAAAGGGAAACATCCTTTCTGGGCTCTCATGTATTCTGACACGCCAGTTTGAGACAATTGCCGAGTCCAACCAACGACACGCATACCCTGCGGCGTGACGAAACATCGGGCGCAGGTCAAGCTGGCGACCCGCAGATCTTGGACTTGTTCCTGGCGCCGGCCTTAGTCCCATCAGAGTTGCCCCAGGTTGTTTGGCGAATGATAACGAGCTCGCCACGTCAAAACGAGCTCACTCAGGAAGGTCGACTCCTTGGGGGTTAGTGTTTTCAGTTGTGAATTATAAGGACACTGTAATTTGCGTTGGCCTAGGCTTGTTTCTTGGGTTGCCCTTTGGGTTGCCTTCAAAATCATTCAGCCAAAGAAAGATGCCCGTCTTTCCCAGCCATATGTAGGTCTGAGGGGTCTATGAACCGGATGAGGCGCACGCATCACTTCCCATTTGTTTTGGGTGAAGAGACCATCCCTTACCCAGGGCCCCTTTTGAATGTGTAGCCCTCTTGAGGAGTCAAAATGTATCTAAATCCAAACCCTGCTAGAAGCTTGTTTTTTCTTTCATAGGGTTGCGGTGAGTTTCTAGCAGAGCGTGAAACCCTGTTTTACATATGAACTTTGTGACGGTGTCCTTCCTTTGCCGGTTGCTCACCAACTTTCAGGATCTTTGAAGCAACCTCGTTTTGGGCCGAAATAAGCTCTCACCCCTGGAGTTTTGCACGCCTTTCGCGAACGTCCAACACACGTGGACCCCCCCCTCCCCCAATTGGTGGGGTTCCTTTGAGTTATCCTTTAACTTCAACAAAAAGGGATACTCTCAAAAAAGACTCACCGTATGGGGAGATCGTGTGCCAAGGGCGGTACATGTGCCCCCAGGCTCGGGGAATGCCGGTAGTGAACCTCCCCCGCTGCGGGTTTATTGCCGCTAGCCCCAACCCAAACCTCACGTGGGTCATAGGACGGCCTTTATGTTGGGCGCATCTTCCATTGCGTGTTCCACCATTTTGTTTTTATCGATTCCATTCGGGTGGTGTACTTGCAAGCATACAGATGTGCATAGTAGAAGAGTTGAGCCAAGCTAGGGCTTGGTCCTACTCACCTCCGGGTTCAAATGAAACCCAAATACGGATGCCGCTCTTCCAGACCTCACGCGGAGGTTCAGTTTGGAGGAACTGGTTTCCTCGCGTCCATTTGCAGACGCGGATTTGGACCACTCGGTGGTTCGATTCGGTGTTCCGCACTCTGAGGAGGCGGTGCCGGCGCGCGGCAGCGAGGCAGAGTTCCTGCAGCGAGATCTGCGAAGCTTGGGCCAAGAAGTCTTCGCGCCCCGGCGAACACTTCGGTCCGCTCAACGGACTCAAACAATTGGTGAAACAGCCTGCACCCAAGGACAATCATGTGTGTGTGTAGCATTCTACCCATTTGTTAGGCCATTCGTTCAAAACGAGAAACGCAGAACGGCGAAAGCACCCACCTCAAGTGGATGTTTCCGTGAAGGTCTGCTCTGGGCTTGGCATGGAGAGAACCTGAGGTATTGTTTTGGAGGGCTTTCTCTTTGAAAGTCAACCCTAACAACCAGCAGCCCCCAAACACTGTTTTTCCTCATCTCCAACCCCTTAAGTTTGGTCACGTTTACGGAAGGTTTGGGAAGCGGTGTCGATGCCAGGGGAGCTGTTTTTCCTTTACATCTCGTGTTGTTTTTTTGTTGTTGTTGTTTGTTGTTTAAAACATCGCAAAAAAAAGCAACATGGGTGTTGATCCTTTTGCGAGCCTCGGTTTCAATAATAAGGGGAGGTCAAGCCGGGCCCAAGTTCGGGGGGACCGAGCATCGAAAACTGGAGGCGATTGAAACACACAGCGGGGGGCAACGTGTGTCTCACGCCTTGCAGGTCACATCCCCTCAGACTGTGCACTGGACACTGCTATCAAAGTAGCCCAATGCCCAGCAGCCAGACGAGTGTCTCTCCTTGTTTTTTGGGGGGACCCCTCTTTGGGGCGGTTCTGAAAGGGAACCCAAGGGAAAACAATCTGTTGTTTTTTTGGGCGGGGGGCTCCCCTGCAAAAAAGGCACGCCCGCACAAAGGCGCGTGTTTTGGGCAAAGTTCGCGTCGGGAAAGTAGGACCTTTGTGAGACGGCAGCGCGCTGAGCAGCTTAGGTACCGGCTGCTGCCTGGCACAACAATGTCACACTGCCTGCGGCCAATTGGCTGGTGTCAGGCCTGGCAGGAGAAAGGTCATCAAGTGTGTGCTGGAGTTGGGTAGTGCTTCAGTTGCTTGAGCCATTTGATGATTTTAGTTGTCTGGTTTGCATTGTTTGGATTGCTTTGGTTTGGAGTGTTTGGTTTGGCTTGTTTGTTTGGGTTTGGGTCGGGGTTGGGGTTGGTTTTGTTTTGATTGTTCGTTTGGTGGATTTGGTTTGTGCTGTTTGTTTGGTTTGGTTTGGTTAGGTTGGGTGTTTGTTTGATTCGCCGTTCTATCTTATTTCATGTGAGTTGGTTTGATGTTTGTTTGGCTGTTGGGAAACTTATTTGGCTTGATTTATCATATTTGTCTGGTTTAGAGTTGCCGGAGTTTGTTTATTTGTTTGCTTCCTTACTTAATTGCGTGCCTCTTGTTTGTTGTGCTCCGTCTTGTTTTGTTTTATTTGGCTTGCTTAGCTTATTGTTATGTGCTTGCTCGATTGTTTGTTGTAGCGACTTGGTGAGTCGAGTCAACCTTGGATTGCTGGATATTCCTAGGATCGCAAAGTTGTTTGTTTCTGGGGTAATCAAAGTCAGAACATGGGGTTGGAAAGTAGCCTAACAACGGCGTTGTACGCCTTAGGCCTGCGTAAGGCTTCTGCAGGGAATGGTTCCAGGCAGAAAGATTGCGAAGGGAGATCCAGGGTTCTACATACTTTCAACTGGCTGTGTTCGTCTAAGTTTTTTCCGGGAAGCCGTCTTTGGGCTTCTTTGAAAGGGAAGCAACAGGGAAAGCCGACTGTTTTGCAGCGGTTTCCCCGCCTTTTGAAGTCGTCCGAATGCTGGAGGTCTTCAGCGCCTGGCCTCTGAGCCCAAGTCCTTCAACCTCCGGGCGGACACGGGCTTCTTTCAGCAGGCGGAAGGGCGGAGGGGCGGGGGCTTAGCTGGGCTGGGAGAAGCGGAAGGGCGGAAGGGCGGAAGGGCGGAAGGGCGGAAGGGCGGAAGGGCGGAAGGGCGGAAGGGCGGCAGGGCGGCAGGGCGGAAGGGCTGGGTGCTAGTGTGCGGGTTTACATGTGCAGGCCAAGGGTTGTGAGGTGAAGTGCGGTAGCTGGAAGGGCGAATCCATTGGCCCCCCGTGTTCCTTTTGTTTGGTAGATTTGCAAGAGAGATGGTCAACCCTAGGAAGGGTTCCCTTGTCCTTATTGCTGCGCAGTTGGGCAGATCAATGAGCAACAAACACTCAGCTGGGAGCTGTTGTTTCAAGACTCAAGGCATTTCTATTGAACATTTGGATAGCATTAGGCACTTGCAAGCCACCGTGAAGAAGGTGGCTGCAAAGGAGAGATGTGCGCAATGGATTCTACAAGCATGATTAGTGTCCTTCTGTTTTCCCTTCAAACACTCTTCCAAGAAGGGGTCCCTGACTGTGGACGAAGGCTGTGTTGTAGCAGCAAGCCGTAAACAAGTATACCCTGAACAAGGTGGTTGCAACCTACATCCTCAGTGTCCCTCATTAGCGGGCCGAGTACATTGAATATTTTCTGCTATTAACTTCTTTTGGGTGTTGGGTGTTGGTTGCAACACAGAGTCTATGCGTTCATTGCATACGGGACGGAGGGGTCTGGCTGGTTCTTCATTCGAAACATTCATGGCGATAGCTTCCTTGAGTGGATGTAAATGCGGGGTTGGCGGGGATTCTCACATTCCCTTTGGAGAAGAGTCAGGCCACTCATCTTGAATTGAGGACTGAGAAGGGTTGACACTGCCCGCCATCTATCAAGTTGGGGAACTTGCCAAGACGGGGATGTGCACCTTTATCACGAGCGATCTGTTTGCTTTCCACTTGTTTGTCATCGGGTTTCAAGCTTCCTCCCCTCCCCTCAATTATTTCTCCCCTGCCCAAACTAGATAACGAGATATGTTTGACTGGCTGGCGCAGGATTGGCTGCCGTCTTTGCGAATTTCCCTGCAGGAGATTTTGTCGGAGATGCGCTGGTGGGCCGGGGGGCGGAGCTTGAAGTGATTCGGAGCGGATTTGGGCTAGGGTTTCGGAAAGATTCCGGAAAGGTGCAAAGAGGTGCCACCTGGGTGTATTCTGTTCTTTTCTTTTGAGGGGGGTCGGGGGGCGGGGACGTGAGACCAAAACCTGAGTTCCTATAAAGGGGCCCATGAGCCATGAGCACGACCTACATGTGATAAATGGACAGGCAAGTTATACGACTAGGGGTTTGCGAAGGAAAGGCACTGATGAAGGTTCCTCGCATAAGGGACCTTTGATTGGGAGGTGGAGGATTATTCGAATTCTACAAGCTGTCAATGCTGCACGTAGACATTGACATATTTTTTAGTTCTAATAATATTTGTGCACAGTGTATGTGTGTATTACATATATACTTGTATATGTTGTTTTTTGTTTGGGGGGGAGGCTGCGAATTATTGACTCCAACATCAAGCTGCCCAATGCCGAGCTTTTGCCACGCTAGCGCTTCTCCTGTTTCGAGGTCCTTCCGGCTGAGGCAGAGACCACTCATGAGACGTACGAACTGGGCTCCGAATATCCCAAACATTGTATTATTGGGTGTCTCTTTTTTAAGGGGACCCGCAAAATAGAATGGCTTCGGTCCTTTTTGGGGGTTTCCCTCCGAAAAGACGAGCCACCCATTTGGCGCCTCAACTCAAGCTGACCGCGCCTAGTGGGTTCCTGCTTCGTTGGATTCATTTCCCTTGACTGGGAGCTTTTGGTTTCTGGGGGTCCTTTGCGTACACATTTTCATGCACCGTGCCAAAAAAGTATTTTGGATATTGTGTCAAAAGATACCAACAAGAGGATTCTCTGTTAAAAAGCCCGGATGGGCTTCACTGCAGGAGCCGTACATCATCAACCGCCACGTGGTTCCGGGCTGGCAACTGGTGACCCCGCCTGTTGCGGAAGAAGACAGGCCGGGGACATGAGCTTTGGGAATACCAACATTCAGAGACCATATAGAAGGTACATGGGAAACCACCCCCAACCTTCAAACCACTACTCCAAGCCACCAGCATCCACCAGCTGGAGGTGATACAGGTGGAAAATATGGATTTCGGGCCGGGACTGCCCCTTGACAGTGACGTTTGACCTCATGGGAATGACCCATGTTGGCCTTTGGGGCAGGGGTTGTATGGCAGGAGCTCCGCGCTAAACGAGGCAAGGGGATGGAGCTCTCGATTTCCCGGGACAAACGACCCAGAGGAAAAGGCCGAAGAAGTCTTCATTCCAGTGGATTGGCGAACTTGAAAAAGTGGCACAGATGAGGTGTACCCCTTGCGAACGGCTTGCGCTTGCATTTTTGCACTGGAATGTGTTTAGAGTTGCTGGACTCAAAGGGAAGGCACAAGGAGACAGTTTAAAGAAAATATCTTGAATCATATTTGACTTGCAGGTTCACAGGGAATGAGTTGGAACGACCCTGAGAAGGAGTATCCCCTCTGATTTCCTTCAAGGGAATGCCCTCCGGTTCATTCCCAACACCCGGACAGGGTCATTCCCTACCTATCGCCCAGCTAAGCAAGGGGTTGGCTCAACCTTCGCAGGAATTCTCAGTTCTTGGCGTGGCTGGATGACTTGGAGGCGATCGCCACCCTGCTGCCCCCCAGCTGAGTGGCAGGCGTTGTCTTTTTTCAGTATGTTTTCCTTAGTCTTCCTGTGGTCTTCCAGTGGTTTTCCGTTGGTTGTTCCCTTAAGCAATCCTTTTTGGGTTCCATGCATTTTGCAGCGTACCCCAAACTTGCAACGCAACCAAAATGAGGGGCTGAACAATTTGTTGCAGTTGGCCCTTTGCAAAGTATATAGCAAAAGTATATACCCTGCCACCCCATTCTAATTGTTTGGGCCCATATTGCAATAACAAGGCATCAAAGCCACCTGGATATGGGTCAAAATAGAGGCTCCCCAGACATGGATTCCGGCAGTCCTTTTGGTTTCCCTACCAAGATGAAATGGATACCCTTGAAAACACACACCCAGCGAATCAGAGGGCACCAGGGCCCCCCAGCCATGTGCCTCTTACCCAGATGGTGTGTTTAACAGAAAACGTCCAAAGGCCAGCGAATTCGATCTGCTAAATCAGCTGGTTAAAGGTGTTGCTTGCTTTATTACTGGCCCAAATGTGTACTTTAAGGAGCTCTGTCTTCAAGTGCACTTTGATTCTTTCCGGTTGCGGAATCAAATGAGGCTCGGTCAAAGTCCATTCGTGGATTTGGGGCATGGGACATGAGCTGTAAATTTCCCCGCCCAAACCAGGGGCTCACTCATGTTCCCACTGGCTTGCTCGAGGTCCTGAGTTCCCGCAGCTGGCACAAAACACAAATATATGCTGTCAGGGTTTTTCGGGCGTTGTTTCTTTTTTGTTGTGTTTCCGATTTTTTGGGACAAAACCGGCAGCTAAAAACCATGTTCAAGGGTTTTGAGCAGTATGCGTTTTTTTTCTTGGGGGAGGGGGAGTGTCTGGAGTGCAAAAAGTAGTTTTGGGTTATCCTAGTTTCTACGATTTGCCTTCTTGGAGTCCCCTTTAACAAGGGTAGCTCCAGTTTCCCTCGGTTTCCTTCTGGGTTTCCCTTCCAGCGGCCAAATGTCTACCCTGCCGATCGGGACACGGGAGCAATGCTGTATAAAGGGAGAAAGGGAGGGAGGGAGGGAACACTTAGTAGGGGTGCGAAGCCACTTTGCTCGTACAAACCATCCGGTTAGGCAGCCATGTGCACATGTTTGTCGTTTGGGGCCGGGTTGAAGGCCTCCTGATATGCCCTTTGGGCTTCCCAGCTGTTTTCCCTTCTTCTTCTTCAGGTGCTTGTCAGTTGCGCGGCCACAGATTGTTCGTTTGCTTCCCAGTTGGCCCTGCCAGATGGGTCAGCGCTTGTCTCAGGAGAGGCCACCCAAGATTTTGCGTTGCTCTTTGGGTCGCAGGAATTCCCAGATCACATGCGAAATGGAGCCCCGAAATGGACCAATCGCGTCAGGATCACCACACCAATGGCTATCAAATTTGCTCAGTGACCCATGTTGCACTATTTCGGGGGCTATCAAAAAAGCCGTTGGGGGCTCCTGTTGAAAGTGTTTTGCTCGTTTCCTGGACGTCACGAAGTTCTCTCAGCTAGTGTGTTTGTCGTATTTGTTACGTGCAGATCAAAGCTCCGGCGTTCAGATCCAGCCAGCGGCTGCAAATTGTATTCGGCTCCTCCAGAGCCCCTCTCTCAGCTAAAATGAGAGGCCGTCAGAAGGTCGCTGTGGTATTCCTGAAAATATGTTATCCTCTTTCCAACCATAGTGAAAGTGAAAAATTGGGGCGTCCCCCAATAATTAAGAACCCTGCCAGATCTTTAGTCCAGTTCCTTACAACTGATTCCCTGTTCAAACAGGCTCCTGCCCATACTAAACACTGCTTCTTCTTTTTAAAGGCCGTCGCCTTGTCCACAGCTATTCCATGGGCTTCTATGGGCTTCGTGTTGGTTTCCCAGGCAGCGAACACCCATGTTCAACAATCCTTTGGGCACCTATGCGTAAACTTCATCACGCGGGGACACCCAAGATTAAACTTAAGTGTGGGTATTTGTACAAGGCTTGGCCTGTTCAGGTTGGTTTGAAGGGAAGCCAAAAGGAAAGCCACCATTTTGCGAATCTTTCAATTTTGACACCTACCGGAACACGGTTGAGGGAGCCATGGGCAAAACCGCGAAGGCTGGTGTGCTTGCCCGCAGCGGCGTGCCTGTGGCTGTTGCTGCGCTTCTTCTTGTGGAGCGCCTGCTACAGGAGGGTGTCTCTCAAAGTTAGGGGGTCCAAGAAAGGCATGGGCGTGCTCTTGGTGTCAAGCCAGCCCAAAGTGGGCTCCCACAAAAGGACACAGGACTCGAATGGCTTGAAATGGCCAGGATCTCGGCGAATCAGTTCAAGCTCACGGATTGAGGGGTCAAAGCGAACCGGGGATTTCTGATATCCGGTTTGTCTTAAACTGGGGATTCCCAAGACTGCATCGTTTCCTTTTGGTGTCCTTTTAAACCAACCCCAACAGGGGGACCGCTCCCAGCTGCAGGCCATAGAGTCGAGGGAAACAGAGAATGGTCAAGGAAATCGGGTGTTTTGCCTGACAAGGGCAGCCTCAAAAACGCGCAGTTAGGACCCTCTCTATGTCCTTGGAAGAATCGAGCTTTGCGGTTTTGATAGGCCCGTTGCACACCCCCGAGTGCAGTACTTGAGTGGCAAGGGTGATGTGAAGCCAGGAGTAGACCTCCGGTTGCTAATTGATTCAGGGGGAAGGGATCAGGATCAACGGGAAATGCACGCCCCCAAATTGGTCCGCTAGGCTGATTCAGGGTGTGTCCTGGAATAAGCACCGCGTGTCAGCGTGTTTTGGAAGGGACATCAAGACGCCAACATAAGCAAAACCCACCTGGAAAGGGCTTGGACATGTTTCTGGTGGTTTGCTTCAGGCCCATTCAACACCGTCCCTAAAGAAAAAACACCCAGAACGTGTCAATGAGTCACGACCAGAAATTGCCTTGCTTCTTGTTTCCTTCCAACATGTGTTTCAATCATCAGCGTCATTTACAACTCACCAAAGTGCCATTCGGTACTCAGCAACTGCCCATCTCAATTTAGGACACTATCACAAATTTGTGTGGTTGACATTTGTTCTGCTCTGAGGAATTTTGCACACTGTCAAAGACAGTAGAGGTGTTCGTTCTATGCCTTCAAACGCAACGAGTGCCACGTCGCTCACATTTGGGGGGCTCTCCAAATGCCCGCCCACGTTTTCAAGGGAAAGCAAAAGGACACCGACCTGTGTGGGGGCCACTACTTTGAGAAACACCCATTTCATTGTGGCTTTTAAATTGTTTTTGCAGGCCTTCCGTTTTAGTAAGGCTCTGCCAAATTCGCTTTGGGCCATCTCAAGGTTTTATCCTTTTCCATAGATGCCGACAAAGTACAACACGTCATCACCTCTTACTTCCAACTCGAGAAACGGGGTCTTCTCTCTGGGCTGTTCAAAGGCAATCCTTAGCCCTTCTCTTGGTTTGCACAATGGGTCCATGTGATCGCCCAGTGAGGCTTGAGGAATGATGGACTGACCAACTCTGTTTCGAACTGTTGGGTTTTCCCTAAAGTTTCTCATGATATAGAGCGCAGGTTTGGTTTGCGCGATGTTTGCCCTTGGGTTTTGGCGGGGTTTGATGTTTGCCTCAGGAGAAGGGACCCGAGCCCATTCCAGTTCTGCTGGGGCTTTTTGGCTCAAAAGGCGGGCTGGGCATCCACAAAGCGGCCAGGACGAGCTGGAACTTCCTGAACACCATCCGCAGCTTCTGCAGTCTGGCGATCCTTACGCAGGTCCTCGAGTTCTCTTGCCCCTGGACTCAGTGGCATCGTGCTAGTTTAGGGATGCAGCATGCGATTGGTTTGGCTACAATTAGCCGACAGGGGGTGGCTGGGTTTTGCAGCGGTTTATTGTTTCCAAATGGGCCGAAAAGCAAGTCGATGTTTCTTCGAGTTTACTGTGACATCACCAATCCATAAGGGCCCGATTTCGCAGCAATCCCAATGTTTAAGCATGCCAGCAACCCTTTGACAAGTTGACAAATGTGCACTGCTTTTTCGGGACTCCCCTTTTAAGGCAGACTCCCCTTTTAAGGCGGATCGAAATGACAACGGACTCCGACAAGGGGCCTATATCGGTGTGTTTTCTTGAGGGTACGTTTTGGGGTGGTTAAAGGCAGATCAAAAGGAAAACCACCATGTTAGGGACTTCCCTATTCTGACATGCACCCGTATTCACATAAAACACGTGAACTGTACCTCATTTTGTCTCGGCATTGTGAAACAATCGGCACAATGCCCTTTATGTGGGTAAGTCAAGGGGATGACGAATCCGACATGGGGAAATCGTGCCATATGCTTTCCGGCGGCTGTGGCAGTGTGGAATCGTATATCCAGAGTTATAGGCTTAGTTGAGATTTGGAATGGACATAGACATAAGGCAAAGCTTTTGTTTGTGTAATTATTGATCCCTTTTTAATCAAGTGCCTCAGTTGGGAATGGCCTCTGTTTGACGTTCTTTTGAATCGCAGAGGCCACTGTTCACTCAGCTGGGAGCTGCAGTGGAGTCCTGGAATTCGTTGGGAGTCCAGACTTGAGGTACTTCATTGGGAGATGATTGTTAATGGGCAGGAGGGGATGAAGCCAACTTTATGTTGTTGTCTTTCTTTTTTCTCGGAGGGGAGGGGGGGAGCCCCTCAGGTCGGTTTGGAAGAGAAAGCTTGAAAGGTCGGAGACAACCCCGTTGGTATATTTGCTGTGCTCAGTAGGGAATGAGGGAAGGAACTCAGGGATTCCGGGATTCCCTTAACGGAAGCCCCGAGCTGGATGTTTAGAAGGAGCATTCCATGTCTCATTCCCTGCCTAACCGCTCGCAAGTTGAACCGAGCGAGCCCTCGGGATTCCCAGCGCAGGGTTCAAGAATCTTAGGTTTCCGGCCTTGAGCCACCTGAGACATGAGCAAACTTCCCGAAGTGTTCCCCTCCCATGGTGGTTCCTTTCTTCGGGGATCTTTGTTTGTTTCTGTTTGTCCAGTTTTTCTTTTATGGGAGGGGAGGGGGGGGGGGAATGTTGCAATTTTTGACAGTCCCTGGATTTTGAGAGCAACTTGCGCGGCTTCGTGCACGGCTTCGTCCTTTCCAAAAGGACCGTCGCCGTCCAAAAGTGTGTGCTGGCGCGAGGGGGAGCTCCGTGCAAAGTCACCCAACTGTAATCCTTGATCGTGTATGGTAGTCCGCAGAACTGGCTCTTGAACTGGGTGAACATTCACCCCCCTGTCCCACCGGTCCACCTGCCAACTGGCATGGAGCCTGAAAACTAGCTCTTGGCAGATTGACTGTTTGCACCATTGTGTGGAAGGGACCTTGCCTGGAAGGAACCCATAAATCGGGATGCTATGAGATTCCTTCCAACTGCAGGTAAGTTTGTTGAAAGAAAACCCTCCCTTACTCGGCCGTCCCCTGTCTGCATGGACGGTTTGTCGCCCCCAGATTTGGGAAACACTTTAGCGGAGATCCGGAGCGACGGCCGCGATGGCCTGGGCATGTTTGCCATTCAAGACATCAAATCCGGGGAAGAAATCCTCCGTGAGACTCCTTTCTCTGAGCAAGCCGCGGGGCTAGCGTTCAACAGGCCAGAGTTGCAATGTGATCCTGAGGCGCAACAGCTGAGAAGCAAGCTGCAAACTTTTGCGGAGAAGTATCGTCACTTGCCTCATGGACATCCGGACAAGTACCCGGCAGAGGCCAGGGCTGTCCTGGATCAGCTTTGTGACATGGGCCAGGCCATTGCGTACCAGCAGCTGGATTTGCCCGCAAAGGCCAAGTACGCTGCACTGGCAGATTGCTTCCACAAGGTCGCACAGGGCACGCCTGTGATCATTACCGGCCTGACATCCGAGGTGGGCAAGCAGTTGAACCTTTGTTGCGGAGTTGCAAGCAGCTTCGACGGGCAAAGGTGGGCCGTCCTGTTGGAAAAAGGTGGCATAAGTATTGAACCGGAGAACCTCAAGACACCAGGGGGCATATTGCGCACAAATGGATTCCAGGTTGGAACCGGGACGGAGGTGCTGCTTGAACAGATTTCTCGCATCAACCACTCCTGCACGCCCAATGCTGTGAAGCAGCGATTCAGGTTCGGCGATGGATTTGGCGATTTCGCGCTATCTGCGATCCGCGACATTCACGTGGGTGAGCAGTTATTCATCGATTATGGTGTTCCGCACGGTTCAGTGGAAACAAGAAGGGCATGGCTGCAAATGAAGTACAACTTCGTGTGCCACTGCAAAGCCTGCGACACTGGTGCTGCCATGTGATGCTGCGAAAATCAGAGCGCTGACTCCTGCCATCCAACCGATCACGTCAATCCAGGAGACAACTTGTTTTCGAGTGAAACGGGGTCAACAGAGAGGGAGACGCAGTATTCAGGTGTGCTTGGCGAGTCGCAAATTGTATGTTTGAGACCTTGTGCACCCCTATACTAGGCCCTATACACAGCGGCCATATGGCGGTTGTATGCCAGCCTCAGAATTGATCACCTCAAGAGGAGGTGTCCATTTGTTGAGCGGACTTTTCATTCGTGGGGAAGCAGCTCCCCCTGTCCATCCGCCGAGTTTCTTCGTCTGGAGCAGACATACTGGATCGGGTGTGGCTGAGTGCAAGATACCAAGATACACAAAAGTGTTTGTCCAACAAGGAAACAGTTCGGGTGACGGGTATTCATGTTCTTCAACTTGCGACCTTGGGATCTGCCTTGTTTTGAGGCTACTCAGCCACTGGTAGGGGTCCCACCCTTTGGGCTTTAGACCACACGAGCGAGTCCGGGGCCATTTTAGCTTTTGTGGCTTGCTTTGGAGTGTGCCGTAGCTGAGTCGAAGGGTTCCCTTTAAAGTCAACCAACCAAAAACGGATGCCTTTTTTTCCGTGGAAATCCACTGGGCATCTGAGGTAGTTGCTTGACTGTTCCCTTCCCATACATGGAATCCTCACGCTCCCCAAGGCGTCTTTGGTTTGGGTGGCGCCTGGCTTGGCCGCAGCTGGGCTTTGCCGCTGTGGGGGTCGGCCTTGGCAGCGCCACTGGCAGCGGCGCCCGGTGGTTTTATGGCCAGTTGGCGGAAGGGGAGAGGAGGGAAACCACCTTAACTAGGGAATCCACCTTTAGCTCTTTGATAGTTGCTGCCCTTTTTATGGGGTTAGGGGTGGGGTCTACCCAGTTGTTTAGCTTTCTTTGGCTGTGTCTTTGGAGGCTGGACAGGGTTGTTTAAGGGAACCAAGCAAGCCGCCCCGGTTGTGTGTGTTGTTTTGTTTCTAGAGTGGGCGGGGGGGGCGGGTTAAGACAGACTCTACAGGGGCGAAGGCACACGTTTGGACTGGGAGTGACAGGAACCTTGGTTTTCTTCAATTTTCTGCTTGCTGCTTGTGTTGATATATCCTTTTTTCCCGTCGCTTTGACAATCGGCCGGGAGTTGGCCAAGAAACCGTTTCGCTGTACAGCTCGGTGATTTTGCAGATGGATTTTCAGGGGGGCAAAGACACCTTGGGGCACGGCCAAATGCCAAAGGACTGGGCTAGCAGCCTTGCTTCCCATGAGACCTATCTTCCTGGTGCTTTTTGCTGGCTTTGTGGACTTGTTGGTTTGCCTGGTTCCCGGTTTGTTGTTGAGCTGATTGCCTTTAGGACAGAGCTCCCAATGCCTCTCCCGTAAACGTCACTTACCAGGAAGCTCACATAAAGTAGGAACGACGGCAGTGCTGTTGAAGTTGGCTTCAAGCTTGAAACTAAGAATATCGAGGGGGCCCTTTTGCTAGCGGCAGGCGGAAGGACTACCCTTCAATGACTGGGGAAGTGTGGTAAGACCATGAAGACTTCATAAGGCACCAAGGGCTACTTCTTGAACAGGCTTGCTCTAGACACTTTCCATGCAGTGGGTTTCACTTGTTGCTCCCGCTTTTTGGCACTCTGGCTCAAGGCGGAGCCCTATTTTCCGGCTACCACAAAAGGGTGCCCTCTTTCACTGGAAATCCGCAGTACCCGCCAATTCCATAAAACGAAGCGGATATTTCCACTACAAACCTTCAGCATCGGGCAATTGTAAACGAAGTGGCATGTCCACAGCTCGAAACGCGAGCCCCACCCCCGGAGCTGCCTTCGTCGGGTGTCGCCTAGGTGCTGCAGCTTTGGCGCAGCCCGCCGGTCCCCGCGCGGAGCCGCTGCTTCTGCCGCCTGCGCAGAAGGACCTGGGCCTACGGCTTCGCCCTGCAGACCTGGTGGCGCCTCCGCAACGGACAGGACGTCAAAAGGGACGTGTCTTTGCAGGGCTCCTCAAAAGATATATGCTGCCCTTTTCAAACATGGCTTTTTCCACCAAAATTTAGGGAAACCACCATTTACAAGGCAATGTTCAGGTGTACAATGTAAGGATCCCTGTTTTGTGAACCGTTGGGGTGTGGCCTCTTTGTTCAGGGAGAGCGGGTCCCCAAAATGGCTGCGGTTTCCCTTTAGCTTGTCAACCGTTTGGGTGTGTCTTTTTGTTAGGGGCTTCCATTGGCTCAAGAGTACGTGGCCCCCAAAATCGCTTCGGTTTTGCTGTTTGTTTCCCTTTACAACCAACCCAAAAGGGATTCCCTTCAACAAAGGGCACCCTTTTTGCCCCTAAGTCAAGCTCCTAACAACTCCAAGCCACCAAAGGGCTTGCCTCATCGAAAGAGGATTTGGTTCAATCCAAATCTGTCCACCAGAGTCACCTTTCCCCCAATTCCTGAAATCTTCCCTTCTGGGAACCAAACCGCTAGCCCCCCCCCCCATGGCCTGTGATTTGCAAAGCTCTCAAGGGTGGCTCGGTTGCGTTAGCACCTGAAATTACTTCGAAGCCGACGTCAGGTGCGAGATCAGGATTTATTTGTACACACTCCCAGACATTAGGTACACTCAAGTGACATGCTGCCAGAGCCAATGTTTGAGCATCTCCGGCTGGGAAGGGCCGACTTTCTGAAGGGCCGACGTCCTGATACTTTGGAACCGGATTGCTTTGTTCAAAGTCACATGCTGCAAATGGAAAGTTGCAGCGGGCAATCTTTTTCAGCATTGCTTCATGGGGCTCAGCACAGCACAGTTGGCAGGGTTCCATTGCCGGTGATGCTGGCGCTACAGCCACTGCGAGGCAGTCTCAGGAATTCGCCTGGTGAACAGCTGATATTTAGAGCAGAAGAAGAGCTATGGGAAAATGGCCCGGAACGGTTCCGAATGGCCACTGAGATACTGGTGCCGCGTTAGTTTGACCGAACTAAGCTTTCAACTTGTTGGACGATGTCGCAAGTTTTCCCTACACACCAAGGGAGACGGTGTCCACTTCTTGCAGCTGTTAGGTTTTGTTGGCCCCCATATGGCCCTGACTCTGACTCATCATGTGTGCCATGGTCGAAAGTTCCCTTCTGGTTTCGGTTGGTGATGGTCATCTTGTTCTCTCAAGAAATCATACAGTAGGGGTGCCAAAGCCCGGAAGAGGAAACATCACCAAGCACAACAACCCAAAAGTTTAAGCTTCAACAAAATCCATAATTCTGGGATCTTGGAGTCGGTTATTCCAGATCTATCCTAGTTGGTTCAGGATGCTCATGTTTAGTCGGGCTTACTAGAAACTTTCTCAAATGGATGGAACTTTCACTCCAGAGCTGTGGAAGGGCAACCTGAGGCATTTCCTTTGCAGCGGCGCCGCATTTGTCGTGGCAGTTGCTCTGCTGCCGAGCGTCACGAAGGAACCTTGCCTGAGTTGTGGAGGGTGACCTTGATGTCTAACATGTCTAACCAACTGAGTAAGCAGGTTATGTACCCATGGTTGGTAACTTGGGCAACTGGGGTTGGTCCCGTCACCATGGTTATAACCCATACTTAGTTGGCCATTGGTCATAACCTATGCCTCCATTTTGGAGCGGATGAACACCCATGTACCACCTATTTTGATGTTCACCAACAGGGTTTTGGCCCGCAGCCAGTTCCTTGAACATGCGAGGGTGATTTCAGGCTTGAACCAAACTCAGGATCGTCCAGGTTTCCGCTTGGCCCTCGCGGACTGCCAGTTCCAGCTGGAGCAGTGCAGAGCCAACACCGGCGCGAGCGCGTGGCGGCAAGTGCCCGACAGTTCCATGGCATCCTTTTGATCCGATTTCCTGGGTCTCCTAAGCCATTTTACATAGACTAGGTCCAGTAGTGCCCGTTCTCACCGTTTCTTTTTTGGGGGAAGGGTTCCCCTACTAAAATAGACTACAGAAAAAAAATCGGGTACCCTTATTCTAACCTCTCTTCTGGAGGACCTAGTAGACTTGACGAAATGTAGACTCAGAACATACTTTTTGGAGTACAGATGTGGGCCAAGTTTTGGAATGGATCCCTCCCGGAATGAGTTTCATACGGAGAACCAGACTGCAGTGACCGTTTTGGATTTTTTGCCTGTAGGGTTTCGTTCAATTCCCCTATTGATGGGCAACACGTCTAAGTCTAGCTAAGTTTTGGGGCGTCGTGGGAAACCATTGGCCAGGATCGAGTTGCATGTTTTCTTTTAATGGCTTTGAGACGCTTCATCCATATACTACATATCCATACATGCTTGATTCGGGGTGGACTTCGCATGTGGGTTCGTACCGGAGAAACCATCCTATGCGCCCATCGCTTCCATTAGCCGGTTGTATACCCCGCCAGCGGAGAGTGATTTGGGGCAGAGGAAAACAATTTTAGAATTGACACGCTCTCTTACAATCACCCTCTTAGAACTTCCAATTGGAGATGCAGAGTGCAGTCCCGCCAGTGGCAAACAGGGTTGGGACCCCCTGCTACACGATTAAACTGTCTCCTTTCGGTTGCCCTTGTGAAGGAAACCAGGCTTGCATTCCTTGGGAGGGAGAAGCTGCAAGACAACACGAAGGAAATCCCTTTGAAAGTGATACATCATGGGCATGGCCTGCTGCTTGCTTACTTTTCCTTCGATGCTGGAAACTTTGGGAAAACCATGAAAGAAGTTGGAGGTCTGAGCAAGGTCTGTGCCTCATGTAATTCCTTACTTGGATCCAGTATCATCCGATTCCTTATAACCCCGATGCACACCACATGGCTACGATTTGTTTTAGAGTTGGAACCACCTCCAAAGTGGTTGGTCGACCTGAATCTTCAAGGAATTCTGATATCCACCATGTGGGTATGGGTCAAAATTACGCCACCAGGGCACCGCAGGGTTTTTTTCTTCCTTGCTTCCATTTACCAGGGCTCCATTTCGGGGTTACCCTGTTCCACCACAGCCATGCCGGGTGTTTTGTTCAACTCCCCATGAGAGCTGCAGGTTCCTTGGAGCTCCACAGCTTTTGCGCCCTGCAGTGCTCCGACGTCAAGGTGCCGGACCAGGACGTCGCGCTGAGCCTCGGCGCCTTGGCCTGACGCCCGGAGACGCCCGAAATCGCCCCCGGGGGAAACTGGGGGGGGAACCGGGGAGGTGTTTTTTGATTTGTTTTTGTCTTTTTCTTTTTGTTGTTATTTTTCCTTTTTTTTTCCGTTGTTTCCCACCAGCACCACAGAAAGCACTAAGTGCTGTCCACCAAAGCGGCGGTTGGTGGGTGCTGTGTGTTTTTGATTTTGCGGGGAGAGATGGGTATATGTGTTTGTGTTTTGTTGTTTGTGCTTTTGTTGGGGGAGGGGGAGATGGGTGCCGTTCTTTGCTTCATGGTTGCTGGTCTTTTTGTTATGCTTGTTGTTATTACCCAACAGCTTATTCCCAACAGTTTAAAGACCCCAGATGAGAAGACCCGGGGCCCTCCTTTTGGTGATTCCGAAGTTGACAGTATTCGGCCCTCGGAGAAAAAACAACGCAACCAGGCTACGTGACCTGCAAGCTGGCGGCCTTCTGCTCTGGTTGGTCCCTGTGGCTTGGCCTTGGGCGTCCCAGATTACCCAGACTCTCCGCTTCCTTTGCGCCAAGGGCGAGGATAGGTCAGTTTGGGGCCCTTTTTTACTTTGATGCTATTTACTTACAATCGTGACTTGGCAAAATCTTGAAATGCATCTCGACTGTGCCGTCTCGCACAAAGTGGCAGACTCGCAATTCATGTGCATTTCCACTGCAAAGCCAGATTGCTTGGATGAGTTTGTCATCTTTCGGGGGTGTGCTCTTGCTGTGGTGCCATCGAAAGCGCGCCGTCTGCGCACTTTGGGTGGGATGACATGGTGGGAATTTTGAACATTCCACAAACTCATGGTTGTTGTTGGGCAGCATTCTACATTTTTGCTTATTGTGGTTTAGTGGCAAATCCCCACTTAGCTGCTAAAATTTAAATGTTTGCTCTTCCAACGTCAATTAAGAACTTGCGAGGTTGCCTTTTTTGCACCCATGTTAGTCCTGGCGCCCCAGGCTGCTCCACCTTGGCCTCCTTTGGGTCGCCTGCCGGGTGCTTCGTATCGCCGCGAAGCTGCCACGCCACAGCGGCCAGAGCGGCGCTGGCGAGGTGAAGGCGGTGGATCGGGCCAAGGGGCGGAAACTGGGCGCTTCTCCAAACGATTGTGGGTGTTTCAGTCTTAGGGGACACCCAAAAATGGTGGTGGTCCTTTGGTGTGCCTTTGGAACCACAAACCAGGGATACCCTCGGAAAAAGAAACGCCCCAAAAATTGTGTGTAAGTATTCAGTTCAAGGCTTCTGTGTATGTATATACACTCAAACCCCCTGCAATTTCGCAGGCCATTTGGGTGATGTTGAACCATTGGCTTGTCGGGACATATTTGTGCGTATTGCCCCCGGTGTTTCTTCCGCTTTTCTTTTCTTTAGGCAATTCAGGTTAACCAACCATATTCCATATGGGCATGTTTTTGTTGCGAGTGTATGGTTATCATTATGATGATTCATCATTGGGAAAATTCATGAGTCCCCTTGTTTTTATTCTCGCAAAAGCTAGCACCCCCACCCCCGTTTTTGTTAGGGGAATCGGTGGGTCCCTGTGTCGCGCGAAAACCAGCGAGCTACCCAGAATTTTGCAGGGAAATTGGCCGGACCCTGGCAGGCGCAAGCCAAGGAAGAGCCGGAGGTTCTGACGTCCGCGCGTTTCCAGCAGAAGGTCTCTGAGGCCAAAGCGGATCGAAGCTTCCGAGAGGCGCGGTCAGGCCGAGAGGGTGACCTCGGGCTGATGGGGAACTGGGAAACACCTCATTTTGAGGTTGGGACCGGGTGGGGGCTATTCAGGAGGGGCTCCTCCACTTCCAATTCAGAGTGTCATGTTTGTTTGAGCAGATCCAGCATGGACACTTCTTGGACCCATTTGGATGTGCGTCGAACGTAGATTGTACCCATAGATTTACTTGAGCCCACCCATCCCACTTACGACCTTTTTAATCTGCTTGAGTTGGTAAAACCACACCAGTCCATGGACCCCTGTGAAGAAAGCTCGCCTTGAGTTGAAGCCCAAACGGCTGCGAGCCCTTGTGAAGGGATGCCTACTTCAAAAAAAGAAAAAATGAAATAAAGGTAATAAACAAGTGGCCGGTCAGCGCCCTGACCAGAGGCGCTGGATGATGGCTACAAGGACCCCAGAGAGGAGCTTCGTCAAAGCAAGCCCTGGCTAGTTTGCCTGTACCTCAACCCTGCGGTCGAAGGGCATTTGTATCACATTCCGGACCAAAGACCCATGAGTTCCTCATGGAACCGCCGCAAAAAGAATGGTTTAACCAGTTTTAGATGATGAAACTCCTTGCGGAAACAATACCATGTTAGCCCCTGTTTCAATGGTGGTTTGAACCCCAAGGTGGAAGCTGCAGGGAAATCCCAATCCCGAGGGGCTGACATATACTTGGATGGTCTTGATTAGGAACTGCACTGCCCTCTTCCAAACATAGCTAGGGTTGACATATGGACCAGAATGCGTGGTGATTCCCAGCCATGCCCTTAGGTGTTTATCTTTTTCATGTTTAATGGTTGGATGCCCATCCCACTAGATGTTATTCACTTCCTGCGGATCTGAAAACGGACAGCCCAGAATCCGAACTGTTTGACCCGCGGGGTGGGCCAAGGGAAGTTCGGCTTTTTCGAGGAGCCAGATCTCAACTTTGAGCCGAAGCTATCAGAGACTGGCCGAGCCGCCCAACGCATGGCTTCTCAGACCTCAACCTTTCAAGCTTTTAAGGTGTCCTCGTTTCGGTCCGTTTCTCACTCGAGTTCCTGGAGTGTGTACTTTTTGTGGGAAGACCTTTTTTGCTGGTAAACAAAAAGTTCAGAATCCGTCTGGCCAATCCACTCAGAAGCGAGGTGTTCAATCTGGTGTTTCAAGTCTTTTGATGCCAGGTGGAGACCCTTGAAGGTCCATTTCTGCTAGATGGTTGTTTAAGGCTGTGGGTCCGTGGTCGCTTTGGTTTAGTGTGTTCCATGGTTTTCTACTACAAGTGTGATCCATGTGTTTCTACTATAAGGGGCCTTTGAGGGGCTGGGTAATTTTCTATAAATAAAACCAACATGATTTTCAAACCACTTTTTTTAACAGTTTGCACCCTTGTTTGAGGGTCCATACAAGCGTTTAGCTTTGAAGTAGATTCTCCCCACCATTCATTCGTGAGTCTCTGTGAGCCACCTCATTCACTCTCTCTCACACACTTTGTTCCTGAGCACCTATCTCTAGACTCTTAACGTGAATGACGGTACAAATGAAGGAAGAGACTAAGAGATAGGTGATGGGTGATGAGAGATGGGGTGAAGAGATCCCTTCCCATCTCCACCCATCCCCTTCCTTCTCTTTTCCTTTCCTAACATTTCCTCTTCTCAGGATATTTAGATGGAAAGGTGATCTTAGATGGTGCAAGTCCAAGCCATTTTTAGTTTAGTGATGAGCCTTGTAGCTGTTGATTGAGGCTCTGTCCATTGCCGCGCAGCTGCCAGAGCCGCCGGAGCCTTCGGGGCCGGCGGGGAAGCCGGAGCCGCAGGGGCCGAGTGCTTCGCAGCTGAAGGACATGGGGGCCGGCAACGAGCTAGCGCTTGAAACCCATTGACTTTGTTCTTTGCCAAAATGGTTTGGGAAGCACCTCCCTTTGGCTTATTACCCAAGCCAAAAGGAGATGTGTTTCACGTAAGGAAGAAGTTGCCAGACCTCTTTTTTTATACTGAAGGCCCGAAGGAGTTTTGAAGATTTGGCTTTTGCCTCTTTTTTACCTTGCCACACCTGAAAATGAAAACACCCACCAGGAGCTCCTGGAGAATCCCATCGCCGACCAGGAGCTCGTAGACTTCGCCCGCGCCGTGGCCGCCGAGGCCATCGCCGCGGAGGCGAACGCGGCGGCCGCGGCGAGCGGCGGAGGCAGCCGCTCCTTGAGCTCGACGCGCTCCAAGTCGCGGTAGGGCGAACCAATCCGCGGAGCTCGAGGCGCTGAGTTTGGAATCCGCTGTACCAATTGTCGTTCTTTTTTTTGCAAGGGCCAACAGTAGAGGGACCGGGCAAAATAAGGTAGCATTGCCAGCCGCCACTAGTTGGAGAAGAGAATGGCTATCATTTGGTGGGCTGTGAGATGTTGTGACTTGGCGACGTCGTGTCTCCGTTAAGTGCAAAGATTGGTAGATGACCCTATCGCTTCCCGCATCAAGATTGGGAATCTTAACGATCAGACTCGCCGCAGCCTGACAGCCGGTCTTTGTATCCGGTTTCGCCCGTCCTTCAGCCTCGTGTTAATGAGCATGGCCGCAGGCCACAGAAAATGTATCCTTGGCAGTCGGAAGTGTCAAAGCATCACTCTTCCGGAAGCCATAGCAAGGCCCGCAAGCTCCATTGGCCGCTCAAGCAAGGAGCTTGGCTTCGGCATACAAATTCCATTGGGTTTGGGCAGTTGCACAAAATGCTTACTCCGGAAGCCTGCCACTTGCAGTGGCATGGTTTCTGTGGATAACGACTCACTTGAGCAGTCAAAAGCGCGACAAGCGCGGCCGGAAAAAGGAGCGTGGATGTGGGTCGATGTTTCAACGGGGAAATCGTCCGAAGGGGTTGGTGTCTTGGAGTAAGGACTGCCGGTTTGGTTGGTCATAAGGAGGGATGACGCGATTCTTTTCGGGTTGTCCTCTGTAGGGACCCTTTTACCTGGTCTGCCATTTACTTGATATCAGTAGGCTGGTCACAGACCCCTCAAGTCGGATTTGCTATCATTCCGGTATCCAACCCTACTCAAGTACTCAACTACTCAACGGGTCGGGTACCAGAATGATGGGGATAGTGGGTGGAACCTCCATGTGGAGACCAATGTTCATGTTCTGTTTTGTGCCTCTTGATTCTAGGATGTGTGTTCGAGTCACAGTTGCGCACGAGTCCGATGCAACTGTTTCCTTTGAAAGGGCAATCCTGCCGATGCAAGGGCGTTCTTGCTATAGGATCCGCAAATTCTCGGTTCCTTTAATTCCTACGCCCAAACGACCTCTGATCCGCATTCCACAAACTGGGCTTCTCCGTTTGACCTCCACAGAATGTTCGTCCTGGGCACAATTCATTGTTTCCCGACCAACTGGCAAGCAGATGTCCACTTGCACAAGTTCATGGCCCGTTTTGGGGCCCGACAACCAAAGGGCCAACATTGTAGGGAAACGAAAGGGAAGCCCAAATGGAAAGTCCAAGAGAAACGAGAAACCTCACCCTCCTTCCGCAACAACCCAAGCGGAAGCCAAACGGGCCAACTGGAGACCCATATGTCTTCAGGGTTCCCAAGGATATCGTCACTCTTCTCGGCAAGGCTTTTTTGGGGGGAGTTCTGTTCATTTTTAGTAGGGGCTGCAAAAAACAAAAAGTGCTCCAGAGGGAACTTCACTTTGGGAAACAGGGATCCTGAAAGCCAGGTCTCCAAACGGCTTCAGTCCATCTCAGAGGCGGCCCGGTTGCCCTCGCCTGAGTGGAAAGTAGATGCAATTCCCTGGTGAGTAAGTAAAGGGAATGATGAGTTGCCAGAACGAGGGAATTGTGGCATGTACTTTTACCCAAGTGCAGTGATGAACATAGAGGGCCGGATGGTCTGCAAATGAGGGTTGCCGCCCCCAGATAGGCGGGCGCTTCCTTTCGCAACCAATCCATGGTAATGTGAGGGGCAGAATGATCAGCATTCAGCTCCCATGATCATGATGAATCTGGTAATCTGGGAATTTAGGGTCTCATGTGGGCATGGGAACCAAGTGGCGGACGGGTCTTGAAATAGATTCTGATGGGTTCATACATGGGTTCCGTTTGAAAGGAAAGGCAAGTTTCAAGAGGAACGCAATGCCGATTTCGAGGGTTCCCCATTAACCCAGAATTGATATGGTTTGGGTGCGCATGAGGGGTTAATTAATTGTGACTTTCGGATATTTTTAGAGGGCCCTCGGACCCATTTGTGGTGGGAACATTACGCAGGGATCGATCCATGTCTAGGAAATCCCTTTGTTTCGTCCAGAAAGGACATGATGTCCCACCACGAATTCTTCCTTAGAGGTAAGTGGACGAGCCTTGATTCCGGAAATGCTTGGCGCTTCACCCGCAAGTGACCACAACATCCCCTGAACGCAAACATCGCCAGGTTATTTCCAGGCACGCGGTTTGATATTCCCCCCATTAGTTTTTGGAGGGGCGACCCATGGAATCCCCTTCAATGGGGCAAGCCATGATCAAGCCTCAAGTTGGTCTCTTGGTCAAGGCTTCCCACCAACCCGAAAACCCGTTGGGATCGAACGGGCGCAACCCGAACTCTTTTTTTTTCAGGCGCATCCTGCGTCGAGGCGAAAAAGCCCAAGAAATTATTTTGGATGCCCTTCCAAAATTCGCTGGAAACTGAAGCTGGAAACTGAAAAACCGGGTCCTTGCTAGCGGATATTGGTCCAGGGGGATCCTGGCTGGTTCCGCTTTCGCTTTTAGTAGGATATACTCAGCAACAATCAGTTAGCACACAGAGCGTCAGTTGCGGCCCACCCATTTCCTGGAAAGAAACAAATGTGTGCTATTGGTTGGCTATGCAAAATGGTTGTTACTCACTAATATGGGTAATACGGGTATGTCTCAAAATAGCGGGAACCCTCCCCTTCAAAAAAAATGGCTTTCGGTATCCCTTTCGACTAACCTTTAAACGAAGCCCTCAACAACACACACAAACACACAAAAGAAAACACGTGGCCATGAATTTGGATTGGGGAAGCGCCTCCATTTACATGAAACAAATCCCCGCCGAGTTCTATCCATCAAAGCCGCTGAGTGAGTGCAGGCCCAAATTTGGGTCGCCTCAGGTCCCTCAGGGCCTCTTTCAGCGCAGCCTCCTCGGGCCCCAGTGTCGGGAGCCACTGACGCGCCCAGTGAGTGCGAGTCGGGAGACGGGGTGTCTCCTCCAAGCCCCAGGCCACGCCTGGTTCCCCAAAATGGGGTTACGAGTCGATACCCATGAAATGCTGCGTGCCTTTGAGCTTTCATCTTGGAGGGGATATCCGGAATCCTTCTTTGTTCCAGCAAGCCCAAACCTCTTGGCAAAAAAAACGATGGTTGAAAAGTGGGGGGCATCAATCCCTGGGCCTTTCAGCCTTTCAAAAGACATCGTTCCCCACCAACAACAGCTGTCCACTTGTTGGGGCTCAAATGACCACGCCTTCACGGGCATTTCCAGCTGTGCTTTGTGGAGGCATGACCCCCGCGCCTTTCAATTTCATGTCCGAAAATGCCTCAGGTACGGAAGGAGCCAAGTTGGGAAGAAAGATACTTGAAAGCATTCTTAGATGTCCTCCCCAGGTTCAACAAAATGCATCTCCAATTGAAAGTGGGACCTTGGTTTCTGGTTGAGTTGTGTAGCTTCTGAGCACTTGGCACCCCGACTGTTTGTGAACGCATGCTTCCCTTTCGACCCAAATCCTGAAAAAGCAGACCCAGGCAACTGCTCCGTGCCTTGGCTCGGCTGCTGAAACGCCTATCGGGAAGGGACAGTTTGGGGTTAATAATTCACTCGCCAAGTGTGAGTTCACTCGCAAGTACGGCGTTCATTCCAGGGGTTGGACTATGACAGCGGGTGCTTGAAGAATATGTGGGAAGCTTCTGTCCTTGCCCCCTTTTTGAAGGAAAGCATGGATGGATATTGACGGTACCAAAGGTTCATCCTGCATTTCACTCACTCATGCTGGTCTGGGTTGGGCTTTTCTCCAAGAGAAGGGTTTACCCCAACCAATCAAAGGGCACCAGATCCCTTGCCAGGCCCGGCTGCAAGCGCCCTTCTGATTTTGGATCTTGGATTTTGGGGCGGAATCACTTGCTGGTGCTCAGTAGGGAATCAGGGAATGAACCCAGGGGTGCCCTTGAAGGAATCCGGCAGTGGGATAGTTTTCTCGGGGTTCTGACTCATTCCCTGCCAATGGCACCAGCACAACAACCCTTATCCCGTTTGGATTGCTGGCTCGGATTTGATTTTGAATTGGCTCTTGTCCATGAAAAAGACCACCAAACCACATTTTCCAAAAACCCAGGGTTCCTTTTAACGGAAACCACAATTGTGTACAAGGGATGAGTCTTCTCGGGGTCGTTCCCACACTCCCCACTGAGCACCGATCGCGAGATCCCGCGATCGGCCCAGGTCGAGTTGCTTGAGGAGCAACTCCATCTCCGCGAGCAAGAGCCGGGACCCGCAGAGGGAAAGAGAACTTTGGTGCCTATTGCTTGGATGTTAGGACTTTAACTTTTTGCCAAGTAATGGGTTTGCCATTAAACCCACTAAAAGTTAAACTTTTAGCAGGGGAGCAGAAAGCAACCGAGGGAAGGGAGGGGTGGGGGTTACTGGACCCAAGCAAATCCTGTTCGGTGATGTGTTTGAAGATGGATGTGGCTGTGGTTCAATTCAAAACCAATGGTACCATTTTGGAATAGGTGCACCACCCATTTTGGAACCTATTTTAGTGGGGATTGGGATGTTTACTGGGGGTACGGGGTTTTGACCCATGGCCATATGTTTCCTTTTCGGTGATTTTTTGTTCTTTTACATGGATGTGTATTTTAAGGGAAGTGTCCCTTTGGATGATGTTTTTCCAAGGGAATAAATCGGGAACGATCCAGGGGTAAACGAGCATGATACAGGTCCACAATTTGCCCAGATGTTTGGTTATATCCCCAACCATGGTTGGACCGGGCTCAAACAGTTGGCACAAATATGTACGTGGTGAATTGAACCACGCAAGAATTGACCTCGTTTGGAAGACGTCCACCAAAACGTTTCAAAGTTCCCATTGTACTTAGGAGGTGCAAGTTTCGGCATGGTTGAGCCAACATATTGTTTGGCCAAACGACAAAGCAGCCCCTAAAACCTCGCTGTACTTGCAGTTTTGGAAGCTGATTCTACTGCCTGGCTTAAGGACTACAGTAACACCCCAAGACCTTCTTAAAATACAAGTCCTCCAAGCACCCAAGCCCATACTCACAAGGGAACCCTGATGAAAGGACGTTCCTGCTTCAGCACGCCAGGTGGCTCCTTTCGGTGTTGGTTCTTCGCATTAATTGTCTTGAAAGAACCACAGTTGATGATCTAGACAAACGTTTGCCTTGAATGAATCGGGCGTCAACAGTACTGCACAAGTCTGTGCCTATGGGTGGCAACGCCTTCCAACTGACAAGGGTTTCCTGTTGTCTTCCCGGAACAAAGACTGCAACTAAATGGCGAACCAGTTTGTCATATACTGCCCACGGAACTTTAGTTTCTGATGATGACTCCTTTTCTGAGGCACCCCTAAGTTGATGCTGTTCAAGATCCTGCAACCGCGCTTCTCTGTTCAATGGTTGAACGCGAGCCCTCGGACAAACTTGGCTTGGTCTTCCGAATAGGGCCGAACGTGCAAAGTATGTTGAGAGGTGGCGGCCCAAACAAGGATTTGAGCTTGTATTTGGGTCTGTTGCAAATCCTTTTGGTTTCCCTTTGAAACCAACCAACAA